TTGAAAACAGCTGCACTGTAAGAGATAAATGAGCCTATTAATTACGTATGTGGAGTTGGGATAGAGTGAATCCATAATCCGTCAGGAGTGGCATTCTTATGACAGAAAGATAGAGAAATGCAGAAGTAGTGTCTAGTGTAATTCTTTTGGCAATTATCTGTTTATGTATTGATAAAATAAGTTCTATTTCTACTTGACTACTAATAGTGTCCAGGTAATTTTAGGAAATGCTACTTTTAAATACAACTCCCATTCATCAGATGGGGGAGAAACGGCAAATTTGCGAGCTCTTTTAAACTTTTCTCAAAGATGTTTTGCTACATGGGACAATAATCTATAAGTGAATGCTACAGCTAATTGCAAGGGAGACCAAGCAAGGAGATGAATAGAACTATATATGAAGCTAAAATGCTTTTAAACAGGACACAGTTATTTAAAGCATCAATGTAGATAGATTTAAGGTTTAGAAACAATATACACTTGGTTGTTCAGGAATTTAAAAACATCATACTCAGTTCAAACACTGCTAAGAGTCTCAGTTATAGTCCATATTTAATCTTGAATTTAAATTCCTGGCATGATTTGTTGCTCAAGCTCCCCCTACCCCACCTTGTTTTTTTTCCTCTAGGTTTATGGCATACACCATGATGGGTCTGTGCTGGAAGCTGTCTGTCTGCTTGTTTTGCTATCAAGTTGTCTCAGGAAGAGTTAAGAGGGAGGGGCATTATGTTGCTGCCGTGTATGAGCACGAGTCCATACTGAGTCCGAACCCGACAGCCCTGGTTGATCGGCAGACTGCGCTGGAACTGATGGGCAGAAACCTAGACATCTATGAACAGCAAGTAGTGGCTGCTGCAAGACAGGTATGCCACAGCTTCCTAGCAGTTGCATGTGTCCTATAGACAGAGAGGGTAAGTGCTATTTGAGGGTAATCTTTCACATTTGTGTTCCCAGGCAACTAAAGCCATATTTATATACATAACTATGGTCTGGTTTTCAGACGTTCTGACCTGCCAACAGCTCTGAAAAAAATCAGGCCATGTAGTGCCTGCCTGACTTGAGTTATTCCAAGCTTGGAAAAAACACGCCTATAGTTAATTTAGTATAGGGAAATGAATTTTCTATTTTGGTCTGAACACCTAGCTCCTTCTGTTTTCTTAAACGGAATGTTTTTATTGAAAGATTGTTTTACAGGCAGCTGTCTTTGGGTTTGATTTTATTCCAGTGCTTTCAATGGAGATGCTTTGGAAATTAATGTTCCACCATTAACAACTTTGTGGAAGTAAAGTTTTCCATTCCTTTCTCCCATCCTGCATGGAATGGTTCTCAGTCTAAATATATTTAGAGGAGAGAGACTGGTATTTTTGGCTTTTCTTATGCACAGCCTCCTTTCATTCCCTCCCCAAGAAAAGCCACAGCTGGTTCTAGTCAGAGGAAGCAGGCAATACTGTCCCTACGCAGAGAAGAATTGACCTGCAAGTTTTACATATCTGTTGTTCTGGAACAGAAGAATTACTGGTTTTATATAATTTGAAAACATTAATTCTGCTATTTTTTCGAGATGGTGAGATGACTGGGCATCACGTTCCAGAAGCATAATAGGTATTTTTATGCAGTATGACATCCAAGACACATAAATTATCCCAAAGCCATAGCGTAGCTAACAGGTTTGAACTGACTTTTGAAAAGTCACATGAATCTGAGTGACTGGTGCTGTATCTGATTTAAGAGGAATCCACCCCATTTTTAGGAACAGTTCACATCTCCCTGAACGTCAGATAGAGCCAGCCTAGTTCTGGCGTGGCTACATTGCTACCAGAATCTGCATTGCTTCCATAGTCAAGCTGCTTCTGAAAACAATACTCCCAGTACCCTTTCCAACCCTATATACTGGACTAAGTGATGTTGCACCTTTGATACAGGTACAGCACCTTTGACAAAGTTCATCTGTAAATAGCATAATTCTGAAAAAAAAAAGACAAATTTTAACATCATCAGTCTTTAACCTAATTGATGTCATTCTCATGACTCATGTTAATGGAGAATACTTTTGGTAAGAATTTGGACGAAGTCTGCTCTTATTTGCATGCCCTTAAAACAGTGTCAAATGTGTTATTTTTCAAGCTAAAGGTATGCGTCAGGTTAAATAAGCTTTTTTCATACACCTAGTTAGACCTACTGTGAAGTCAAAGAAAAGTTACTTTCGAACTGCATTCTAATGAAGACATGCTTGGGTTATCCTTAACTTTCTTTGGCTGTTTTTACCCATGAGATTCCCTCTTTTCCTTTTGTGTTTAGGTTGGTTGTGCTTTGCGTACAAACACGTCTTTGTTTTACATACAGGGGGCACAGATAATTGTTTTTCCTGAAGATGGAATCCATGGCTTCAACTTTACCAGAAGCTCCATTTATCCTTACTTGGATTTCGTTCTGCATTCGCACTCTGTGAAGTGGAATCCTTGCAGAGAGCCGTATTTGTTCAATGACACAGAGGTAAACGCAGGAGTGATTTCTGCAGGGAGGTGGAAAAAGTGAATGCTAGATTTGTGCTCCAAGTAAGAAACTAGCTCTAGTAGTTTTTCTTAGGGAATTGAGAAGTTCAACAACTTGTAGTACTAGATTCTGTTTTCATGGACTCTCAGTTTATGCTGGTTGCGTTCTTAGCAGAAGAGGGTTTTAGATACGTACGTGCAAGAAGATGAGCTTGTTTATGAGCCCTCTGGATTGGTCATCTCCTCCTCCCCAACCTATGAAATGGTAATTAATCTCTAACTAAAGATGCATCGTATGTGATTTTATTTTGAACAACATTGGTTTATATAAAACAACATAGCAGTATCTTCACTTTTGCATTCTCGTTACTCTGTTTTAATGACTTAATGACATCAGAACATTCTGACTCAGTGATCGTGTGTAAAATGATTGGCACAAGTAACAGGACTTGACCTGCTATAACATAATACAAGTCACAGCTTAGCACAGGCCAAGTGTGATTACAGGAGATGAGACCTGCCAGTTACAAAAATACCATTTGCATCAGCTGTTCTGAACCCAAAGTGAAAATAATCATGCTTAGTAACACGAACTATTTATTCTTATTAACAGTAGTCAGTATAATGAAGGTAATCATGCATGTGCCTACTAAGCAGAATTTGTGTGCAAACGTGAATCACAGTTGTAAATGGTGACTCACTTGGGCCTGTGAATCTTTACTGCCAGTGATCGTGGGCAAGCAAGAGCTTAGTTTGCCATTCAGATCCTATTTGGAGATTGCAGTGCTGGCAGTCTTTGGTACAGCTCTGTATGGCGTGGAAGAAACATCCCAGTAATACTGTGGTCTGTAACTTCTTGTATTTCTAAAAGTATGCAAAGTCTATCTGTTTACATCTCTGCTGCTCTGAGCTATAGCTAGTAATCACTTTTTAAAAAATTTAGAATAAAAGCATCTCGTTGCAGGAATAAGCCATTGCAGGTACAAGTTATTGTTAAGAGTACAAGTTTGCTGTTCTAAAGGCACTCATGGATCAGTTATGCTGCCTTGCCAAAGCTTTCAGTTGGCCTATGGTGTTTTAAAGCCAGTGGTGCTCCTGCAACAGTCAGAAGTTTCTGAAAATTAACACCCTTGAAATAGATTTATTTATTAACTTACTTCTCAGGAAATAAAACCCAGATAATTTTTTTCAGTGCTATTTTGAAGTTAATATCTGAAATGCTTTTCAGTCTAGAATTCTGTCACAAAATCATCAGTACTTCTAAATTTTAAAGATATGGTCAAATGTGTTTAATTTTCAGTTGAAAATAATAATTTGAAAAGTATTAAATAAGTCACAGCTGCTTAAGTAAAACTTATTCCTCCATATTCTGAAGTGCATACATTTCCTTATACTGTTTTCCAGGTTCTTCAGCGTCTAAGCTGCATGGCACTGAAGAACAAAATATTCCTTGTGGCCAATTTAGGAACTAAGCAACCCTGTGAACACGCTGATCCTCACTGTCCATCTGATGGAAGATACCAGTTCAACACCAACGTGGCATTCAACGATGACGGCATGCTGGTAGCCACATATCGCAAACACAACCTGTATTTTGAATATGCTTTTGATACTCCTCCAGAGCCTGACTATAAATTCTTCGATACCCCTTTTGCTGGCAGGTTTGGTATGTTCATTTGCTTTGATATACTCTTTTTTGAGCCTGCAGTGAACCTCATCAGACAATACAATTTGAAACAAATTGTATATCCAACTGCCTGGATGAACCAGCTCCCGCTCCTGTCTGCTGTAGAATTTCAACAAGCTTTTGCAACGGCTTTCAATGTCAATATTTTAGCAGCTAATATCCACCACCCTACCTTGGGCATGACAGGAAGCGGGATATACACTCCAGTCAAATCATTCATCTACCATAACATGGAGGGTTATGGTGGCAAGCTCATAGTCGCAGAAATTCCTGTGATTACCACAGATTTTGAAACCAATCTGGAGAGTAATGAAAGATTCAGAGAGAACTTACATCATTCATGCAAGACTTTGACAAGCACCTCACTGGATGATCAGTTTTGCTTTAAGGAGGAGGAAGAGGCCCCCAGCAGAGTATCAGAAAAAGGAAATGAACAGTTACCTCCCCTATTTTATGCAGAAATGATGTATGACAACTTTACTTTCGTTCCTGTATGGGGGGAAAAAGGAGAGCTCCAGGTTTGTGCCAATACCCTTTGTTGTTACTTAAATTATCAGAGAGCTGTTGTAACTGATGAACTATATGCTTTGGGAGTTTTTGATGGGCTCCACACGGTGCATGGCACATACTATGTCCAGGCCTGTGCATTGGTAAAGTGTGGTGGTCTCAGCTTTAGCACTTGTGGACAGGAGGTTACAGATGCCTCTGCTCTGATAGGTTTCCAGCTATGGGGAAATATGAGCACCTCTTACATCTTTCCTTTACTGCTGACATCTGGTATTACCTTGGACTTTGCTGATCACATGGGCTGGAAAAACAACCACTATTTCATAAGCAAAAATAGAACATCTTCTGGCCTACTGACAGCTGCTCTATATGGACGATGGTATGAAAAGGACTAGCACAGATATTTGACTGAATCAGAAAACAACGGCCCGTATGTTCACGATGTGTATCTTAACGTAAGTTGTTGAACACCTGTACTTCCTGGAGCTTCAGGTGTGTTTGTTACACGACTGACTGATTAGATTCCACACTTGAAATGGTAAGTGAAGCACCTAACCTACGAGGCTGGAAGTACGGTCTGTACCTTGGTAGCTTATATCCTACCACACGTGAAAGAACTGCCTTGCAAAGATAAAAGGCTTGTTGTAATGTGTTGAGATGTTTTATATTGGCAAAATAATACTTCTCAATTCAATTGGATTGATTCCTTTTATTTTAATCCTCTGGTTTTCTGGGATCCTGGCTAGAAACATGGAAATGAATGGAATGGAAAACTATTGCAAAAGGAAGAAAAACAGGAAAGAGAACAAAGACACGAATACCGTGCGTGATATGCATGAAATATATATGTGTACGTACATAGAGCTGGTATATGGTGAGATTTCTGATTTCTGGTTAGGATGCTGCGATTTATCTTTTTTCCCAGAGTCAAAAACTCCCAGCTGAAATCATTACCATTTACTGGCCACTCAGTTATCTGTAATCCTGTTAGAAAACTCAGTGAATTTCTTATATACTTTTAACAGTAACTGAATGTTACAGCTGTGAACATCTGAGGAATGGGTAGTCTGGGGAAGAGGATACCAAATGATTGTGAAAAACTAGACTGCATTAAGGTAGAATTTCCAGCCTACTGTGCAAGGAATTGTGTTTAAAGAAAACGTCAGCAGGGAATATCAGTGACTATGTTATGTACTGTTTAAGTACTTTAACTTTCCCTGTTTAAAAGAGAGGTCATTTCAAGGCTATTTTGACTTTAAGACATCGTACACATTGTTCATAAATTCATTCAACAAGTGGTATGAAAAGCACGTAATGAATTGTGGGACAGCAAGGTTTTTACATAAATACGTCGTGTGCCAGATGGCAGATTCCTGCAGTAAAACACACCATTCTTTCCAGAGCTGTAACTAGATTAAGTGCTGTAACTATTGCACGATGGTGACAAACCGTTCTACTGCAGTGGAGAAGTTGGGAAGAGAATATTCAAAGGATACTAATTTGGGGTCAAATTCAGAGAAGATAATTTATGCTCAAGCATTATAATTTTGTGTGGTCTTATTGGCCGTTACGACTTCATCTGCGTAATAGCTGTTGAGTAACGGAATAAACACAACCGTTCCTTTGGTGAGTCCTTGTGTTCCAGTTGCTCAGTCCGGTAGTCAGGCCAAGAGGAGCAGAGCACTAACAGGAGAGCTGTAAGTCTCTGTTTCAGTGGTCTGAGACAGTTCTGAGGTGTGTTGAACTCAAACCACTATGGCAGCTACAAGTACCCGTACTCAAAGGTGCTCAATACGCTCCTGCTTTGAATGAACTCACTTTCTGGTTTCAGAAAGCAAGACAACCAAGGAAGTGCTGAATTTCTATCTCAAAGTTTCTTAAATATTTACACAAAGTAAGTATATAAACATTGGTGATCTTGGGCTCTATCAAACCTTCCTTCTCCAAGTTATATTACTGTGAGACAGAAACTAGTCACACTCAGCTTAGATACAGCAACACAACAGGTTTGTTTATCCTGCAGCATATATTAGACAGAAATATGGAGAGGGGAACATCTATGTCTCATTAGACGTAAACTGGCTGATGTAAAAAGTAGGCTATCCCACTGTAGGGTTATTAAAAATCATTAGTTCTTTGGCACCCATAGCGGTGTTCTTGCTAAACACTGCACAAATTCCACAACACATAAGGTAGAATGGAAGAGCATTTGTGGTGCTTATTTGTGCTTCTGGTTCTAGTACCGTGTGACCACATCTAAAAGAACGGAGCAATGAATGGCTGGAGAATTTCAGCTCTCAAGACGAGCCCCCCAGTCCACTTTGTAGGCTGAAAAACATGCATCCTCTTGCACTAAATACTGTTTTGGATTTAGTTCCAAAGCAGACTGTTATTACCACAATAAATTAGGCTAAATAAGTAAACAGTGTCACATGAATTTGCTACGTTTAAGGAAAAAAAAAGTATTTATCTGTGAGACCCTTGCAAAGTGTGTTCCACAGCGCTATTCTAATTTTCCGTATGTCAAAACTATTAGAAAACAAGACTCTCTGGCCTTACCATTCGCATGGGGCACGTTGCTCTGGCTTCTCCTTGAGAACATTAGAGTGTGTCCTCACACCTTGTTCCCTTCACCCAAAAAAGCAGCCTTTAGCAAAGAGACGCTGGAAAAAGTGGAACAGACAGTACTAGACTCAATTGAGAATTACCAGTAACTTCCCCCCTCCTGCCCATCCCGATCTTTGAGTGACAACAGATGTATCCGTTCTGACTGGGGGTGACCGGGCAGTAACCTATGACATTCACCACCACCCATGGGCAGCATTTGGAAGTCTGCACTGGAACAGCAATCCCAGTGCTGCCCTGCTGAATGCAGCACGGCTCCCAAACAGCCTGGTGTTCATGTGACCGAGGAGGAGGTGTGAGAAGCCTTCAGCACGGCTGATGTTCACACAGGCAGACTCATAACATACTGTAACGCAGCACATCATCTAATCTCTCTTTACTGGATATAAACAGTTTTATCAAAGCTTCCCGAACATTTTCCGTCTGTGAGTGCAACAAAAGCAAACCAGAACATGAGGATCATTTGCCATACGGGAAGTACAGCAGAAGTCTACAACAACTTTAAATCATTCGGGCTGTTAAGTGAAATCAAGATTTGGAAATCTGTACCGACATGAAAGGAAAATCCTGTCTAAGACAGACAGCAGGGATAATGTCTTTAAAGGGCCTTGACACTGCCCCTGGGAAGGGGAAGACAACCATAGAAACTGTCTGTCTGGGTAGAGGTAACAGCAGGCGAGTCTGAGATATTGGGGATTTCTTCATAAGGGATCTGCTGCTTTGGGATTCACATGACCAGTTCATGGTCAAACCATTCACATTCCAGGTGGATGTGGGGATACTCTGATTACAGTGAGAGAAACCACCAGAAAGCACACCAAAGGATCATTGGGCAAATGGGACATTGGAGTTAAGTTATTGAGAGGTGTATGAACAGGCTGAGGAACTGACGACAGACTGGGACAACCTGTTCAGATCAAAGATCTTCACAATGCACAGTAGGCAGAAGCTCATTTAGGCACATCTCTGCGGGAGATGAGTGAGGACACCTGACACGATCAATGTGATCAAACAAGTGAACCTTTATTTGCATACACTCAGCGTGCTTTATAGCTTTCTAAACGAGACTTGGCAATCTATGATTGGTTACAATACAAACAGTAGCCCACCCCTTAGTATGATTGGTTGCATCCCAGAAGCAACGTCATCATGGTGTCAAATTCCCTTTCTGCATCCAGGCACGTGCTCCCAGGAAAGGCTGGATTGTTCACATGTCTCAGGTATCCTTCCACACATCCCCCTTCTTGTTTTTGAACAATCCAGACTTGTTTTACAACCTGTTCAATCATTTTCGTGAGCAAGTGTAACAGACAAATTATTAAGCATACAAGCAACCCCCACACCTGCAATATACCAAACAACAAGAAACATAAAACCAGTTTACATATTAACATGAAATCTTCTATTATGAGTCTTTTGAACCATTTCTTGTCAGTAGCCGGTATGTATCTGTGGGAAGAAGTCACATTCTAGTTTGCTTCGGGTATATATGGTTTTACCCACTTCGCCGGAATCCACAGTGGTCCGTTTCCTTTAAGTAAACACATATATCCTCTGCCTGTTAC